GAGTGGCGTAAACACAAAGGTGACCAACCCTTGACTTGGCAGAGGAGTATGAAGGAGATCACGAAACGCTTGGGTGCTGTCGGTGCTACTCGCCTTCCAGGATGGGGACCGCGTGATCCTCACTGTGCCTGGTTGGAGACACTACAAGATATGGCTGCCAACCGATGTCAGTGGCGTTCTTGTTGTCAGTTTCTATCCAGATTGCCTGAGTGAATGTCCGGAGGTGTAGGCACCTCGGAATGATTGTGGTAAGCTAGCACTAAGTCCCTTCCCTGTCCACCTTTACTCTTTTCTTTACAATAAGGCTTTCAAATAAATCATGGTTGTACGGCAGTGAAGCATCGGTGTTGAACGCTGATGTCGTGCTGTCGATGATGATTATAATGATGCAGAGAGATTCGGGGACGTGCAGTTGAGATTTTTCCTGTAAGTGAAGCTAACCGATGTACAGTGCTTCTTGGCTTTAGCTTGATTTATAAAACGGATTACTCCACTGCTTCCCTAAACTAAGGAAGCCTCAGTTCGACCTAAACCTCTCTCTCTTACGGTCAATCGAAACGCCAGTGAAAAGAGGCGGTAGGAAACTGAACCGCTCTGCTATAGGTCAACTTCACCACTCTGTTCTATTCAGTATCGTCTAAACGAAACTACATGTACCGGTCGGGGCAAACTTCGATCGTCAGTCGCAGACCGCTTGCGACTGCCATCACCACCACTTGTTGACTGGATAGCCCACAGTGTGACGAGCTGCTCACAAGAGGCAGCGCTGGGTAAACCAAATCACCTCGCACCCCCTTCCCAACACCAAATTCACTTAAACTTGACTTGCTTGTCTACCGACTTCCACTGTGATGACAAGGCTGTTGTGGCTTTATCCACTTCTCATATGTTTGCTCACAAAATCGGATGACTGCTTGATCCTTCTTGAGTACGTCACCGATTGAGGGCAGTCGGTTTACGATATTCGCATCCATTCCAGCAGTTTAGCAATGAGTTATCGCTCCTCCCTTTGATAATTCCGAAGCGAGAGTTTCGTAAGCCTATTGAAACTTTGTTCAACTGAAACGTTGTTCTTTAAGTGAAGTCAATCTATGCTGGAAGAACCGAGAAGCACTGCACAACTGTTTCATTCTAACCTAGGAAGAGCAGTACTTCAAAGGAAGAATGAGTCCACAAGATGAGTGACACTTCCTTCTGAGAAGTCATCACTTGGTAGGCCAGTCGACGCACGTGACCACGTGATGTGGATCCCGTGATTGAAAGATGAGTGGCGCTACGTCCTGTCTAAACGAGACCTAATCACAGTGCTGTTCAGCTGTTCGAATCGAACGATTACTTATTCAGCCACTGACTGGATTGTCACGAGTTCGAAACTCTCGTTTTCGTAAGAGGCACACTGCTGATGATTCCAAACAGGGATGAAACAGCTGTACAGTGCAGATGAAGTCTCCAGTGAATAATAACCAATCTCCTGTCTAGAAAAAGTCACAAACGACCAATGATCCGATCGATATTTGCCTTTGCTTGGTTGATTTTGCACGCAGTTCACGTGATTCTTTCCCTGACTACCTCTTGGTGGCATTGATTGGCATTCACGCTATCTGTCGTTGACTCCAATCCACTCAGCAAGCGAGCTGTTATGGTGACCGTTTCTAAAAAGGACAAAGCCAAATTTGGTAACCAGTCCTCACTCACTAAAATTGTGAAGAAGAAACGCTGGATCCAAGCGGGTAATTTGAGGCATCAGCCTCCGGTCCAAATGCAGATTAACCCGAACAAAATTTCGGCTGAACTGCTAGTTTGGTGCAATTCCTTGGGGACAAAAATTCACCAAGTCTACAGGACAAAACAACCAAGTTAGATAGATTTTAAGAGGCTAGACCACCGCGCCGGGTTGAAGGAATCTTCTTACTAATTCCTGGTGTTAAAAACCGATCAATAAATGCTTTAACAAACTTTACACGATACTGCGAGTGATTTGACAGCGTACGCTAATGTGAAACCCTGATAGTCAACTTACTGGTTGGTGTTGCGGGAACTATAAAGCAACGTGAAGCAGTGGTTAAGAGTGGAGGTGCAGGAACCATTGATTAGTGCTGTTGAGTGAGTGAAAATATTGATTGGGTAGAAGCAAGAACGATAGGGCTGTGCGTGCACAATTAGTCCAACAATTATAACACCAATTTTTCGCAAAAAAAACCACACAAGTGACAAGACGGGGGCGTTCCAGAGGAGTATATGCTGTAGAGAGGTGTCTGAAACACTTATACTCCAGAATGAACTTGGCAAAAGAAAATAGTACTCTACAGGAAACTTCTTTTGGAACCGCAAATTTATCGTTTCCGTTATATAGCAAGCAAGAGTGGATAACACCACAGAATGTTTCGGAACCATGAAGTGTGAAAGTGCATCGTTCAGACGTAACACTTTTTCGGTGCAGTGCTGTTATTGCCAAGTTGTCCAAGCCTAGACAGGAGCAATCGAGTTGCAAAGATTGGGTTGGAACCACGAACCTTCCGATCAGTAAGTTCACGTCCGTACTCCAGTTGTGAGAATGCACCGCATTCTTGTAGCAGTTGTTCGCACTCACGTAATCCTTGTGTAATTCAACCGCCTGCCTACTCAGATTTGATTTTCCCTTTAGTCATCAATATGGCACGTGACCCGTAATCAGGTTGATGGCCTGAAATCTTATCTTGAACACCAGGTGGTCATACTGAACATTCTTCCGTTTGATCTGCTGAGTAGTGGGATCATACGTGTCCAGATATTTTGTGTTTCTGATCAATTTTTTGTTACTCAAGTGGTTAGAGCGCTGATTTTCCGACCGAAAGGTCCGTGGTTCGAATCCGACCTCTGCCTCTGGACTTCCCCTGTCTAGGCTTGGGTGACCTGGCAGTATCCCAGCCCTCGTACTTCTTTCGGCACCGGAAGGGTGTTACAGCTGAGAGATTTTTTTGCTATCAGATCTTGGGACGGCAGAAAAAGTCCCGGATGAAATGCCATCAAGCTGCACAGAGTACTGTAACCCAACGCTTTCGTCCAAACCTATGCGAATACAAGTCTGGTAGTCTTGCTCTGTGTTCATACACGGAATATTGTGGCGCCTGATATGCAGACGAACTGCCCTGGACGGAGTAATTGATCTCGTGGAGATTATTAGCAGCTGTAATGGTCATTATAGCGGAGCATCAGTATAGAGGTGAGATCAGTATGGCGATTGTTAATCCGCTCGCTTACTAGTACCCAACTCACTGAATCGATGCATTCCGCCGACTCACTTAACAGACTAGCTTTGGGGAGTTAATCGACAGAGCAATGAAGTATGGAAGCCTTCGTCAGTCAACTGATTCCAGTGAGTGACTGTGACCTTCCCAGATGCAAGACGAGGCAAACCGACGCTTAGTGATCCCAAGTGATATGGCTGTGTCTCTCAGTTGACACGGTCCAGCGATCACCTTCACTGCATACCTCTCACGCCCTGCCATACTGGACAAATTGGGCTACCGTCCCGAGGGGCGAGATGATCCAAGTGGTTAGAGCGCGAATTTACAGACCGGAAGGTCCGTGGTTCGAATCCGACCCGCTCTGCCTCTCGGTTTCCCCTGTCTAGGCTTGGGCAACCTGACAGTATCCCAGCCCTCGTGCAACCTTCGGGTGACATGGCAGCTAGGCTACAGCTGAACGGTTTCTTTACCGTCTTGAACGCATGGCTCTCATCCCCTTATTCTCCTCCTATCGTGGGCGAGTGAAGAGCTCTCTCTCATCGGTACACTGTCTGATTGACTGAGTTCTCTGTAGATTGCGAAACTCGAGTGCTACTCTTCAAAGGATTCGTTTGGGGCCATCGAAGTTTAGTTGAACAACTGATGTTGTGTGTGGCCCATTCGGCCACAACAGCACAACCTACTAGACAACTGAACCCAACCAAACAGTGAAATACACTCGTTTGCGAACTAATTTGGTTTTGCGAGCGATTCACCCGGGATCCAGCTGAATCTCTCGTTTGTGATGTTTCCGGGCAACGGAATGTGCCGCGCTAGGTCGCCACGATATTCGGGATATCGACAAATTTCGAGCAACCTTATGAGTAGTGCATTACGAATCAAACAAACAGTCTTTTGCCCAGCACCTGGAGTTTTTTCCACCTGCTCAGCGTTGAGAAGGATGCAACTCACGTATAAAGAGAATGTGTTAATTGCCTCACTACATGCAAGTGGCCATACTAAAGTACCCCTGTTCCTCGAGAGCAGACACTCTCGGGGATCCCAAGGGGCTTTCCTCATTGGACGGTGATCATTAAGAGTGACAGTGCGTGTTTTTTCCGATTGTGACAATGGAATTTCTCAACAACCGTCTTGAGGGTCAGATAAAAGTGTTCCTTTTCATCTGGAGAAGCGCTTCGAGTATTCATTGCCAACGTATCAACGAGACCCATGATCACCAAAGAGGGTGCGAGAAACACGTCGTTATCTCCTGTTGATTTTCATCCTCTCCAGTCAGTTTCAAGTATGGAACAATGGGATGACTTATCATCAAGACAGATTTGTATAATACAGCGATAATAGTGGTGAGGATTGGACGGCGGACTGGAACACGTGAGTAAGACAAGGGAGTCGGTATATGAAAGACACTGCCCCACTCCGCCCTGTCCAGCAAAAAGGAAAAAAGGAGTCGGTTTCGGCTTCTGGGTAGTTTCATTATTCGAGAAATATGAATGGCGAGTTCCCGAGACAGTCAGTGGAATCACTGGGTCCCTGTACGGTTCCTGTTGGTTCAAATATGATCATAAAACAGCCTTGACTAAGTCTTACCTGACTGACTGGTATCGATCAACCTTGTGGCAGGAAACGAGTCATTTCCGCTATCCTTTGCCTGGGATAGTTCGAGCTCCGGGGATTCGTCTACTCGCTGTTGTTCACTACCCTCAGTAGCTTCTGAGGAATCCAGTTCTTCCCGAGGCACTGTATCCGTTGCTAGCGGACTTAGAAGTGCTTCGGAATGGTCTTTGGTGATATCTTCGGAGGATTTCGGATACCGCAACGAAGAGAGTCTACTGCTGATTGGGGTGTCTGGATCGGAGATAGATCGTCTTAAGGGCTGTCCAAATCGGTGTCCACTGTTGGTAAGCTGTTTTTTTTCGGAAAGGCAAACAAACAACACTATGCATCACAACGAGGTATCACTGGCTACAAACCGGCCTTCCAAGGGAACAAATTTTATTTATAAAAAAAAGTCAATGAAAAGCGAGTTATCCATTAACTAAGTGAAACACGGATACCGGGATTTCAGAAGCGCCCGGGGTTAAAAACCAACGCAACGTGAATGTCAAATCAACTTGTTTTGTCAATTTCTTCTCAAACGCAACAAAATCATCCAAAGAAACCTCGCATCCCAGAAGCAGAGAGATCCTACAAAGTGCGGGGTGAGCACGTGACATATTCCATATCCAACCGGATTGTCGAATTCCGGATATCTGCTAGATTACTTTCGGGATGACAACTTACAGCCTTCTGGTGTGATTATCTGGCAAACGATCTCAACTAAAACAAGTATCTGAAACGTGAGCAAGTTCCATTTACATAATCTAGCGCACAGTTACCCAAATAAATGCGTAAATTGTCTACTTACAGTCTATGTGTAGTTGCAGGTCCAGAGAACGGATACGCGAGGCTCAAGTTTTACCCGTACTACTTTCCGGTGATGGTGCAAAACAGGGAGATGGAATATTTTCCGGAAGCTTAATCCACTTTTCCAGCAGAAAAACAAACAAACCTCATATTCTAACCAAATGGAAGTAGTTGAGGCACGGAACATGACTTGAAGGTGCCAAGACATAATCACTGATCTCTCAAACTGAATGCCGATTTAGTAAACTGTACAGTTCGACAATTAAGGGCGAGATGGCCCAAGTGGTGAGAGCGTGAATTTACTGACCACAAGGCCCATGGTTCGAACCCGACCCGCTCTGCCTCAAGACTTCCCCTGTCTGACAGTATCCCAGCCCTCGTGCAACCTTCGGGTGGCATGGCATTTGGGCACCGAAAGGGTGCTAAAGCTGAACGATTTTTAAGGTGCGAATTCAATGACCGGAATGCTCATGGTTCGAACCCAACCCTGGCATCTCTAATGCTCTTGTCTAGACTTGAGAAAAATGGCAGTACCTCGGTCCTCGTGGGTCTTTCGCGTGGCGCGGCAGCTCGGCACACCAAACGGGTTAGAATTAGAGTAAAAGATAGACCTTCCTCCCAGACGATAGCAGCCGGATGACCATTGGTCATTCACAAAGCTTCTTTCGAATGAATGTGGGTTGAAAACTACCCAGAGTCGAGCAGACTTATCTGCACACATATTGAGTTACCTCAGGTGAATGTGCAGGAGTCGAACACGTGACCTATTGATTAACAGACTCAAACCGCTACCTCTGGATCAATGACTAATCGGTCGAAACCAAACTACGCGCTAACAGTCAGATTGCTATCTGGTTCGTTCAGCAATCGGTTGGACGACGAATCAAACTTGAGGGGAAAATTCTGAACGCAGGCTTAAGACGACGCGGATTACTGCAAGGTGGGAACCCCGAAGCTGACTCCCGATGATCTTGCTAAATCGTGCGGCCATGTTTTTTGCGATCTGAGTCACGGTTGTTAGTTGATGAGGGCTTCTTTGTTTGGTATTGGCTTAGTAAACAATGTTCGGCACGGAAGTTGTCCACTCGGCGAGGTCCATTTCGGCAACACAGACTACTTACTGATTATAAGATACGAATTTCCCTCGTTCTGTCACACACTCTGGCCTACCAGCTGACGATACCTTCAGTATGAAAGCTTGTCAGAAGAGGGATTCTATGCATTCCATGCTGAGAGTCAGTGCTCAGCCATTTTGTCGAAGACCCCTTTCCGAGACATAGAGACCTATCGTTGACAACCTCATACCTGTTCCATTTCAGATACCATGAACACAAATTCGCTGTAATCAATATTGACAGCCGTACGCCAGTAGTGAACACTACAGCCCAACTGTCACACAAATGAAAATTTTCTAGCAAATATTGAGAGAAAGCACTTGGCGGAAAGGTTTCATATTAATATATGGATCAGAAACTTGACCGCTGCGCGCTGAGGACGTCAAAAGACTTTCAGTGTTCAACCATCGATGTCCTCGGAGCATTGCCCGAATCTGGTGGGAACACCGGATCAGCAATTCTGAAGTACGTCGAATGGTATTCGGGAGAAACGACTCACCCTCGATAGATGAACTGATCACACTGCATAGGTTGCACTGGCTTGGCCACATGCTGCATATGCCAGTCGACCGACTTCCTCGAAGGGCTCTTTTCGCACAACCACGTGAGGGGTGGAAGAGAGCCAGAGGCGGTCAAACGATGACTTGGCAGCGAAGCAAACTCAGCTGCGCTGGTCACAGCCGTCTTCTTGGATGGGGACCCCGAGACGGGCCACATCAATGGCTGGAGACATTGTCAGATATGGCCCAGTCGCGCCCTCAATGGAGCTCGTGCATCCGAGCTATTGCCTTCAATGCATAGCTCCTTTTCCAACCCCCCTAACTTGACAGCCCACTGACAGTGCTGGATTTATCCACCAATTTATCATCTCCCGCGTGCAATGCGCAGCTACATACCTCCCCCCCCCCAAAAAAAAATCATCGGTGAAAGAAACTGCGGCGACTACAACCACTGTACGACGAGTACGCGGTTCTTACAGCTGACAATCATGATGATTACAGCTTATGGAAAGCGATCAAGAACAAGAGGTTTACACCAAGGAGAAGCAAAACATCACATCCAGTGGTACTGATCCAACGTTCTTTCCAAACCCAAACTGAAATGAGCCCAGCATACTGGGAACGGCAACCTTTAGCTAGGTAGTGTGGATACAAAGTGACAAGATAAAGGTTACTGGCATCGGTTGAGTGCCCAACTCCATTTCGGTTTCTGCCTGCTTTGCGTTGAGTGCTCAACTCCCTTCCGGTTTCTGCCTGCTTTGCGTTGGAATGTAACGGGGTAGTTTGGGCGGACAAAATGGGCTATTGTCAGTGGATACATGGTCTGGAATCTGAAACTTTAGGGCGCGAAGAGTGATTTTCAACCTTGTCTGCTAGGCAACAATGATGGAGTGGAAATTAATTCCGATGCCCATTAGCCGCACAATGTTCTCAGTGCTCTACGTGTGGAGTAACACTTTTTGCGCCAAAATGCTCCATTTTTTGCATATGTGCTCAAACCAAAAACCATCCTGATCTACGTTCATATTTTTGCAGCTCACCAAATTTTAATCTCCACTGAAGCAATCGTGCAGAAAAGTCTGGTGGAATAATTTCCCAGCATCGCTCGGACCCCGGGATGCCTAAACGAAACTCAAAAGTTTGGCCTGGCACACTCTTAACTCAACTGCCCGATTGCTTTAATCCGTCAGGGGCACGTCGAAAATTCAGTTCCATTGTGCGAATACCGGGCGCCATTAATTCCTAAATCGTGTCTAACTGTTCGGACACGCGGAAATGTTTGCTCAAACAGCTTGCTAATACAGCTTGGGTGGACAGACCCCCTTGGCCGAACAGAAATGCCCTACATCGGTCAGTTACACCACAAGTCCACGCGTACTAATCACCAGGAGGGTCGGTTTGCAATAGATACCGAGCACAAGCCCGTTAGTGCTCGTTCACTTGAGGGTCTTGAAAAGAGGGTGAGTATTCTTCATGCAAAAAGGAGACCCAACTCTCATGGGTCCAGCCAGTAACGGGACAAAGCGAGATGGAGGAACCTCATTCGAATAAAACTTTGGTCTAGTTTGGCCCATTTGAGGTGCCAATGTACTGTTGTGCAACTAAAACTATTCGGATGGGAACACGGATGTTTCATACCTTGGTGAACTGTCTTATTGTATTTGCCATTTGCGAGACAAGCTGCCACATTTGTATCATTGAATATCGATCTGGCCCCGCATTGATCTCTCGCTCGATCATACTTGAAGATCGTACTGTTCGACGACGGGAACGTCGAGAATCCTGCACGCTTACACCTAATTGGCGTGCTGTAGGATACAGTGAGGGTGCTGAACACGTCTGTTCCACATCGGGCAATGAGGAGGCAAAAGATCTGCAGAGCTGTGGAGTGGCGATCGTGGAGACCGATGCGAGATTGCTATTATCCTTGGCTGTTGACGCCGCTGATCCATCCTGTTGGGTAGTCCGGAATGATTCGACTAACGAAAACAGACTGGGGCGCTTGCAATTCGCGGGGAATAGTGTGTACTCGTCAGTCTGTCTAGGTTCACCACTGGTTTGTGGTTTAAGCGTTCGGCTATCCTCACGTCGTCGAAGTGCCATCGCATATGTACGCGATAGAAAACACAGCCAGTTGTGCATAATGTCCACTTGAAGCAAAAGAATTTGTTCCAATGAAGGGGCCTCATCTAATTGCAGATTCTGAGAGGAAGATGAAAGATATCAAACAACATAGGGTGTACATCCATGTTTACAGCTTGCTAATCGTTTACAGTATACCCTATACACTAAAATGAACTTCTCTTTGCCAGACTTGCATCAAATGCAAGTTCAAATGCGACGATATATTACCTGAACTCGGCTTCTAACCTGACAGCAGTCGCTAAGCCACATTCATCATGCTCCACACTCATTGGATAGTTTCGTTGGCCAATCATCGCGCGGAGTTGACGATCGATACGACTACCGGTTCCTAAAAGTTAGTTTCAGTTAGTCCCATGAAAAAAAGCTATGAACCCAACCTTTTTGGATTCATTACATTCGTCTGACTTTGGGAAACAGAGTTTTTGTGTCTATTTGGATCAAAACAGTGGCACTATCTCGCATGAGGGGATGACAAGGGTATACAGTAAGTACACGGCGCAGTACCCTAGTGCAAACCCATGCGTTTCTCGATACGTTTAAGCGGACAATGCCTGTATGCCATGCAAGGTTAGCTCGGACCTAAGCCCACCTTTCTAAACAACACCTGAGGGAATAATGTGTGACTATAGTGGATAACTTCCTCGAAGTTTAGTACACGCTACGACCTCTGAAAAGTGCGTTCTGCAAATTGACCTTTAACAATCATGCCAAGTCCAACGAACTAGTTGTCAAACGTGCCTAAGCTGGACGGAAAAAGTTTTCACGGTTTTTCTCCTGCTTTCATCCTCATGAAGAAAGGGCTGACATCATTCGAGAGTGGCTTATCTGCGAGGAAGGGATCCATGCCAACGTGTGAATGATTGTGGCCGTCAAGAAGGAATGTTCCTTTTGGGACCATCTCACTATGTGGACCAATCTGGTTTTGAATACTTCGGACTCAAGGCGCCAAGACCTCCCAAATTAGAAGTGCTACTCGAACGATTTCATAGCATCGGAAAACTCGTTAAGAAACCACCCGTCATTTGAGGGTCTAATGCATGATACGGGAATGATTGAACATCCCCGTGTGGATGCAATGATCCACTTAGAACATCCGTTGTGCTGTACAGTCTGTTGCGACCTTGGATACACTTCAAAACTAGATTGCTTGGGAAGAATAACTTCTCAGGAACAAATTGATTCTCGCTTCACTAAGGGGAGAAATTCTGAGTTTCGAGAAGTTTCTAAGATAAAGAAAAACGTTGTCAACCAGTTAATGTGAACAAAATGCTATTTTTCTAGCTTTTTTTCTATCTCAGTGAAGGATTTCCAAAACCCATTCGGTGCACAGCTGCCATGTCACCCGAAGTAAGCACGATGGCTTGGGCACTGTCGGTTTACCTAAGACTAGACAAGATGTTGGAGTCCGCTTCAAAACCCGGTTGGCGAATCAGCTCCCCTAAAAACTGAGCACTTCAGAACAAACCCAGGTGAGAATTTCATCCAAACTGTTAAAAAGGCCTAGTTCCACACAGAGAAGCCATAGTGACACCAGAGCGGTTATTTTGTTGTCAATTTTAGCGAAGCAAAGATCCTACTTTCTGATTCGTAGTGCATTAGAATATTGCCTGTCAAAAATACTTGAAGCACAAAATGATGGAACATTTTCTTAATGCGTATCGCACATGCATACAATGATTACAGAAGTCGAGTTGTATCGAAGTCACAGCACAAACCCACTTGCTGAGCAGTTCAACAAACGCACAGCCTCCAAGACCAGTCAACACATGGAGACTGCAATGAGCCGACAAAAATACACCTAGTCCTTCAAAAAAAATGCCACGGCGGTTGCACTTCGGGAAACTTTTAGTAACAATATCGAACGCCCACATGCCCCAGAAATCTGCTGTTAGTTGTGATCGCTTCAGGGTAGATGGTACCTTCCCTAGGTTGTGAATAGTTCATCGTTGTGTCATACGCCAGCGAGCTAAACAGCGTAGCAAATTCCCCTTTGGAGCACAAATCTATTTGAAATTAGCAAACTTGCACTGTGCGGCAACAGCTGATTCTGCCCTGTCAGTAGAACAGGTAACAGACGTTGAGGCGACCCAGTCACCCGTATACTTGACTGTTCAGCTCACAGTCGCTCACTGGATCGCGAGGCTTGTCTTTTTCTCGTACGCACAAACACGTCGCATTAAGCTGACTCATCGGACATCGATTGTCTGCACCGCCTAGTCAGCGTAGCGACCAATCATGTGCCGACGCGCCCACGTTTACGCACTGGGACCTACATAAAGAGAAACCAAACCCAGTCAAGACACACAGACTCGCGCGCGCGCAGGGAGCTAGTGCACATACACCTTCTGATTTGTATTATGGCACTAATAACGTCTCGGACCATCGCGATCAGCTGATCCAGAGCTGAGATATCCTCTCCTGGCAGCGTTGTACCAGCCTCCCGGAATCAACTTTATATCGTGAAAAGATGTGACGTCAAGGTGAGATGAGGGGTCGTCTAACTCTCTCCCGTTTCCAACACACTTTTACTCAGCTGTTGGTTGGTGCAGCGCAATCGGCTGATTAAATGGTAAGTCAGAAAGTTAAGAATGACTAACACTCAGAATACGGAAAGACATATGTTTGAACAGCAAAACCTAATGAGAAGTGGAACTTGGTGTAAGACCACATTGGTGATGAGTTTTCGCGTAGAGTACACCATTCGCTGGTTAGTCTTGCATAAGTGAGTCAAACACTAGGGTACTTACTTTGCAAATGTTGTCAAACTCAGTCTCCGAGATCCTCAAAGTTTCACACAAATCCCGCCGCATCTGTTGGTTCATGCGATTGCAGGCATCTAGTGGAATGTAAAAAAAACGGAACGGATAATAGTGTTTCAAAAATCACTCGAATTTACTGTCGTGTTTGCCGGGTTAGCGACGATACGTTGAAAAGACGAAAGACCGAGTCACAGTTATGCATAATCAATTTCAAGGATGTACAGTCAATCAGTCAATGGAGGAAAAATCGTCAGAGTGGGCTGTTAAATGCAAGGCGAATTCTCATTTTTCCACATCGACAGGTAAAAAGAACAAAATGAGTTTCCAAAGTTAGAAGCAATTATTGAATGAACTGCAAATATAGATGGCAAGGTTCAATAAAGAACGAGCATGCATCTCTTGGTCTAAAACCTCTATAAAAATACTTCACTGGTCGGTATGACTTCAAAAAATAGGCGACTGTCTGTACGAATAAGGTGTGATTTGCTGCATTTTGAGAAGCAACGTAAGGGAAAACGCATAGTGGCGACGGGCAATGGATGCAAGATTAACATGCGTTGTGNTGATTAAAAATTTCAGCATGAAATTCTTGCTCAAAAGAAGGACCCTTTGAGAAGGACAGTAGGAGAAATAGAAGGCAAAATTAGCGTAGTACAGTGAAAGAGAAGTTGATGTTTAGCAATGGAAACTTTTCAATTTCCACCAAAAATCGCCCAATCGTCATCTGTATTTTGTCAGGTGGGAGAAAAAACGAAGATACTAAACATCGGTCCAAAGAAATCTATAACTCTCTGTTTCAAAACACGTCTTTCATCAAGCTGTGCAGGCTCGATAACTAGAGAAATGTCTGATTTGTGAAAACAGAGAACCCTCAACTCCACAAAAAGCGTTCAAGGGTTGTCGGCGAGCCTCCAGACACGCTGCAGATTGGGCTCTGAAACAGCCAATCGGAGAGGCTCGACCACGTCCGAGTGCACGAGCACCCAACAGCAACACTTCCTGCACTCGCTCGTTCATGATACACCTGTTATGCTTTTTCCTATTATCAAGTTTCTGAAGCCAAGATTAGCAGTCGGTTACAACGAGAAGAAACTTAGAGAAACGAAGGTCACCGCAGACTGCTTCCATTGGCGACGGGAAATAAGATAATTGCTTTGTTGATGAATGGGGTTCTTTCACCATGCTCAGAGTCCTTTTTCCCTGCAGTTTCCAAAGCGAAAATTTAGCCACCATTCGCGGAACACAGCTACCCGCATTTGCTTCGCTGCCCTGTGATAATGGATGAAAGCTTGAAGTCGAACCCAGAGTCCCAAAGAAGAGAGCCGAACTTGTCATCCTATTCATCATTTCGGTTCCAAAAGCGGCAATTGTTTTTATTATTATCTTCCATATTACGTTTCAGTTGATACATGCTGGTGATTTTGTGTTCAACGGATCTGAATGAGTGTTCGAACCTCCTTGTGTTGCAATGCTACTTAGTCATGCTATCTAGTGATGATTGTGGGTGCATTTCGTTGTTTGCCAAACTCCCACTGTTCAACGTACTAAGTACCTTCTGTGATCCTACCTCCAGCCCGTCTACACTGTTCGGGTCCCTGATTCTGCAAATAATCACACACCTGATCGTTATATGCTTCCGAAAAGCCCTCATTTCCCATTTTTCTGCTCTGACCGACTGCTCTGTATACTGTTTTCCAATCCACTCTTCTATAGAACAAGTATCCACTAATTTCTTCCGACTGAATACCAGCTGCACAAACATCCGATGGCTTCACACGTTTTGTAATAAACTAAGCCAACCGGAGATGTGACAATATTTCCCGCTTGTCTCTGTACAACATTGTTGCATTGTGTTGAGGAACCATGGTTTCCTTAATACCATGAACCCGAGTCTGGATAGCCGCTTGATAGTATGATGCGCTTAGCCAAACCAGAAAGCCAATGGACGTGCGAATCGGCTGATCGATTTATTAAACACGGAGAGGCGTGTCATGTGCAGCCGAAAAAGGGCTGTCTATGAAGCTCACGTGGAACGTTCTAGGCGGGCCAAAAAATAGAACTCATCTGTCCAGGAACAAGCGAAGAACAACCAATTAAATCTGTCCCAACGAAAACGGTCATTCCATTGGCAGTTGTGTAGTCCAGTTACGTTCGGAGCTGATTATCCTAATACATCGTACGTGATGTACCTCGTTCTTTTGGTCCTACCCGGTCCGACAATGGGGAAAAGGGATAAATTCATGCGACGATACCTTCACAAAAGTCTGCTGGATGTGCCAGGTCAACAGCTTTAAGTCCACTGACTAGTGATTCGAGGAGATCCGGAAATTTTCAACTGATATTTAGGTTGGTAAGTGCGCACTGCACGAGACTCCAAAATGTCCCGAACCCTCGACCTCCCGGCTATTAGTTTTCATCCTTATTGGGAATCATCAGCAGTGCGCATCTCACCAAACTCCGGGGAGTCGGGAACCCGCGACCTGCCGGCTATTAGTTCGAACACTTAACCGTTCGGCCACGAGTGGCTGATGAGCACTGTGATCAACTCACTTGAGACAGGATATAGTGCCGCTCATCCTTCAATCACGGGATCCACATCACGCGGTCACACGTGTTGCCTGGCTCCTCGAGCAACGACTTCTCAGATCGAAGTTCACTCTTCGGTTGGTAAATCGTGAAACTGCTAAATTCTTGACTTGTAACTGGGAGGAATTGTCATGAGCTTGCAAAGTTCTTTCAGTACCCGATTGAAGCCCTAACAATCCCCCTGCAAGATCTGCTTTCGAGTGTTATCTTCTCCCTTGTATTGCTGTTTCATCCTTATTGGGAATCATCAGTAGTACACATCTCGCGAAATTCTAGAGAGACGGGAACCCGCGACCTCCAGGCTAGTAGTTTGAACACTTACCCGTTCGGCCACGAGCGGCTGGTCGGCAGTGTGATTAACTCACCCGTCTGGCATGGTTACAAATGTTGACTGACTCCTCGAACAACGAGTTCCCAGACGGGAGTCTCACTCACCTTGTAAAGTCACTCTTTTTCTCATGACCTTGTGGGGAGATTTGGCAATTTTTGGCATAGGTACGACTGGGTTCATTAACCTGTTGTATAGGCTCTAACGACAAAAGAATCGAGCGACAGAAATTGACAGAGAAACTGTCGGCTGATGTGACTGACACACGCTGATTCTTGTTAATTGGTCCAAGGACTCGGAATGCTTTCAACGCGCCCTTCAAAGAACACTACTCACGAGGTTACTGAGACTGAAATTGGTATTATTTCGAAAACAACGTCCTGTTCTCATACTAACCAATTTTCATTTTGGGTGGACAGATCGATAACCAGTGTCTTAGAGAGCAATAGTGGTAAGTCAACCTGCAATCAAAAACTCAGCGAACGTTGTAGCCAGTAAACCGAAGCTCCTTTGTCAACAGCATGTTGCTCAGCATGCAAGTTCTCCTTTGCTTCGGAGGTCCGACAATCAATTAGTTGGGGTGGACTCAAACAAAACACCTGCAATGCACTTTTAAGGCTGTTATTCATGAAGGTAGGGTTTAAGGTTTGTCGTACCGACCAAGACAGTCAATATACATCACTCGGACACTACTTACTAAGTAGTACTTATTAAATGACGCCCTGATGACGGCTTGCAAACCAGAACGAGGTTTGTACACTTACTGATAGACATATGTACTCGATCCAGTGGATTTATTTCCTCTTCCATTGAGCTTGTGGAATCACTGTGTTCGATTATCGGCACAGGTGTTTGCTGAGGTTGCTCGATGAACTCGGAAGGCAATTCTTCCCCAGACTCTCCGGGTCCCCTTTCCATTTGGGCTGTCGCTTCTTCCCGTGCCTCCGCCTCATTCACTTCGGGGAATTGATCCAGTCGGGCATTCCGAAGTGAAAGCATCTGCATTGGAGTCGTGGTTCTGCCCATTCGCAACGACATTGCTCCGCGCTGTTGTTGCTGAGCTGAAGAGAAGTGCGTAACCATCGGACTTTGTTCCTGCAGAAGTTGGAACCAACTGTGGAGAGAGCAGAACAAGGATCATTGCAAAGAGTCGATTAGTGTCTGTTCGGGCAATATCTGAACAGTTCAGATGCTTGGAAAACAACGTGCTCTTAGTCTGTTGTTCAGCAATGGCATCCTTTAGGTGACAAGTTGCCATACCATCCGAGGTTGCCCAAGGTTAGACAAGAACAGTCCAAATGTCGGGGTTAGATTCTAACCACAGTAATTTCGGTCGATAAGTCCACGCCTTACAACTGAGCCACCTGGAATTCAGTCAAGAGGACCTATCAAATGAAGTCAAAAACATGCGACAATTTCGCAGTCAGTAACACTTACTTCTGGCGTTGCTTCTCCTGGAAAAACAGCACTCGAACAAGGACAGGAGGGTCCATGGACACGATGTTGAGTAGGTGTTCTCCTCCTGGAAAAGAGGGGAAATAAGTGACGATGGGTAGTAGTCAATTCAGTTGGAGCATGTTCTGCGCATCAGTTAGATGGTTGGTTCGTAGACTGGGATATGCTGCTGCATTTTTCTCTTCCTCAATTAACTACTTACATTTTCCGAGTAGCCCAGAAATACGATAAAATCGTTTCTGAGGTGGGGAGCTCCACAACGTCACTGGGTGGTTCACCCTTAATGCTATCTCTAAATGTACCCTTTTGGAGAAGCGGATGAGAGTTATTCCATCACATCATCAGCTCAGATACAGGCACAATCAACGGACATGTTCTTATGTCAAAACGAGTAGCGCAACGTGGAATATTTCCCACGACCATTTGGGGAAATAAAAAAAAGTCACCACAGTGCTTAGGAAGCCGGTTTCCTGTAAACCATTCATTGCATTTCATTTGGCGCCAGCTCTTTGTCTTAATTGTAGGCGGTGGTGATAAGTTCGTAAAGAAAAAAACAGGGTTCCAAGGCGCAACTACGCCCGTTTGTCGTGGCCATTCACCGACTGCATATGTCCCAATTCAATGTGTTGAAAGACAATGGAACAGCTGAACACGATTGGAAGGATCTGAAGTGACCGCAAGTGAAACAGCAGACGATGGAAATATCGATAAGGACAATCCATTCGGAAAGATTTCAACTTAAATTTTGTGGGTGTTTCTCTCTTGAAAACAATAAAATCTGCATGTTCAGGAATCGAAAAACCGAAAGCTGTTTTTTCGTAAACAGTAAATCTCAGAATGAAATTCAGAGACTTATTCAACGGCCAGAATGGAAGAGACGGAAAATAAAAGAGCAAAGGTCAAGTGAACATGCTTGACCTTGAGAAATTTCCCCTAAAAAGTTACTTTTGATTGGCCAGAAACATGGATCAGTATCAAATTGCAATGTTCATTTTTTATGTAGCCCAGGACTTGGAATGAAGGGTTTATTCTTCATTTTTCTGAGATAATCGCAGGAGCAGTCGAGATGCAGAGACTGGGTTCGAACCAAGGACCTTCCGGTCGGTAAGTTGGCACAGTAACCATCAAGCTTTCTGTCACCTAATCCGAGGAACCTCAGAAGCATTTTGTACTTTCCAACATTGAATTAATCCAGAATAATGAAACTAACGGAAAAACGAAAGTTAACAACTGACACCTTTAGGTGCCCAGCTGCCATGCCAGCCAAAGCTAGCAGGAGGGCTGAGATACTGCCAGGTTGTTCAAGCCTAAACCGTTCAGCGGTAGCAACCTCTCGGTGTCTAGCTAACTTGCCACCAGAAGGAGGCACGAGGGCTGGGATACTGTCAGGTTGCCCAAGCCTAGGCAGGGGAAATCGAAAGTCGGAGGTCGGGTTCGAACCATAGACCGGTCAGCAAAATCGCGCTCTAATCACTGAGCCATCTCGTCCTTCCGCTTTCGTGTGGGACCTAACAGTCAATCGGGACCTGCGGTGTATGTATTGGGTAGCTTAGTGCAACCGGAAATTTACCAGCTAACATTCAACAGGAAGATCTTAGTGAGTGGGCAATTTGAATATCGGGATAAAAAGCGAACTTACCGAATTTCTCGCCACGGGACGTGAACATATTGTGCAAAAGGAGTATAGGAGCCAACTTAAGACTTCCTGATCCACTCGGACGTTCGGAAATACTAGCGCCAGCCATATTAGCCACCGTGGAAACCAAACCAGTTCCAGGATTCACTGCGGCCCCACTCAACTGGGAAACCGTTGAAGCACCCGAGAATGATCCCAACGATCCCGTTGGTTGAGTCAGATAGTTGCTCATCGAAGTTGAAGGTCCGGAAAATGACGAGGAAGACAATGGAATTCGATCTGCGAACGAACCCATGACAGCAATGGAACCAGCCCGTTCGGTGCTGCCTCCGGAACCTCCGGTCGCACTCAACCCACCGCCAGCATGTTCGCGAGTCGCCTTGAACGCTCGCAGAACGTAACGTTCATTGTCTTTGACCAAAAGCAACAGAGCCGAATGCAGCAGAATGATCAGCATATCCGTGCGTTCTCTCACATAATCATGGTTCACTTTGTTTGCACTGGTAACTGTCAGTCTGTCCACGGCAACTTCCGCGTGAGCCACAACCCAGTAGCGGAACAACATCCGGGGGAAGTTGAGCAGGAGTTCCTAGGGTTTTTAAAAAAAAAAATGATGACAAACCGAAAAAAACG